CTAAATTTATTTATCAAATCAATGTAAAAACAGATGCAACGTTTTCCTTTGACTAGAAAAGAACATTACGTAAATTTTTCAGTTGACAGAAAAAATAAATGCGTTGAACACAGTAAAAGAAGTTGGAAGAAGGGGAAAGTAAACCGTCAAGAAAGGAGAAAAAATCAAAATTTTATTGCTCAAAATGTTTTGAATTTCAATTTTAAAATATACTTTTGAATAAAAAACTGCAGTTTAAATTACGGCAGTTGCTGTCTAAGCTAACGATTCTGCCGTTGTTGCTGCCATTACTGTCTCAGCTATCGACTAGTTAGGTAGTTGAAAAAAAGTGAAAAAAGTGAAGAAGAGATTATACCAATCCAACATGTTTTATAAAATATTAAGACAAAAAATTTTTTCAGGTTCATAAACCCTACCATTTTATATTACATTTTTCTAGACACTTTCATTAAGAAGACTTACAGTTTTCAAATTTATAGTGTGTGATTTGTGAAGTCCAGTTATAAGTGCTGCTAAATGACTATTAAATTTGGAAAGCAAAACTTAAAACTATGGTCAAATAATCAGTGTCAAGATATACTCATCGAAGAAAATCAAATTTTTTCTTCTCTTTTTAATCTCTTCTTGAGAGACTTAATCATTCTTTTTTGAAACGATAAGCGTTCATCCACAATACCACCCCTAAAAACTACGACACTAATCCGCAATCAACTAAATCGTACCCTACTCAAATAAATCAGAATTAAAAAAAACAACAGCGACCACAATTGTTTGTTTCCACAATTTGTCGATGTTGAATATATTATTAAATACTTTTTACATTCCTTTTGCTAATGCTGGCAATGTTTAAACAAATTAAAAATTGTGAATCTTAAGTTTGGTAGCGAAAATGAGGTACATTGAGCAAACAACAAACGATTAAAATAAAAAGTTTTTCCTTCTCAGTGTTTTTCGTCTTCAGCAAATTTTAAGTATACCAAAAGAAGAGATAGCTCAAAGTTTGAACTTCAAACAACATTTATGTCGTCGTTGGACTTGGAATGCTTTGTTGGGGTCGGTTGCCGTGCACACTCCAACGCGTCAGCGTACGATGGCAGTGGTGGAACCTCGTCATCACTTAATGGACTCGCATAGCATGAACCACGAGAATCACACTTAAGCATATAGGGCTTACTATAGTCAATTGGTGCAGGAACATTGGTAGGATTTACCTCTGAAAATCAAGAAAGTCTACTTTTAAATATAAATATTGTTACGCTAGAATGTAGGACACAAGACACCGACTGCAACGATAATTTTGAAGCTGTATTGTGTAAACGATACCTGAAAGACCTGCATTCCGTCTGTCTGAGCGCGGTTTCAAGCAACAGGTACAAGTAGATATTGAACATACCACACCAAACAATGTGCCAAATACGAAAAATTGACATACCAACTGAGAACTTAACGTACTCGCTGAAAACGAAATATATACAACTTGACTTTTAGATCAGTAAAAATCAAAAACATAGAGTCTTATATCACAACTTAAAGTCTACGTGACTAATTAGCACTAATTAACGACACTTTTCTGTGAAGCATTAGAAAGATAGAACTAATAAAGTCTTACCATTTGAATTCGGTGCAGTTTGGTTGCTGGAACTGCTGGTTGAAATACCTTCCAGATGATTTAATCTTGCCTGATTAAGCTGTCGTTTCAACACTTCGTCTAAAGCGGCTCTGAATTTCACCTCCGTAATAGTCTGAAGTTTTTCATGTGTGGTTGCATCTTCCTCGACGTGTATTTGGCTCTGAAGAATACGCAACAACTCACTCCTCGTTTCATCCAAATCAATCTCTATTTTTTCCTAAAAACCCAAATAACTTTCTCAAAAAAATGCTTGAAGCCGAACGACTGTTTCATTTTACAATCATTTTCTTTTCTCAGCTATCTTTCCACTTATTCGATCCCTGCTAACCTTGTTTTTGCATCGCAAAATATGAAAAAGAATAAGCTGGAAAGATTTTCGAAGACAGAATGTTGATTACAATATCTAATTGACAACTACGGTCGATAAACCTAACCTTCGTTAAGCTATTTAAAATTTTTAACACAACCTGGTTCTTGATTCGAAAGCCTTGAGTTGCGCCATTTAAAGGTGGTGATGATGAAGAAGATGCTGACAGTAATGAAGTTGACGATGGTGATGACGACGTTGATGAATTGGCTGTACTCAGTAAAAATTGTAGAACATCTTCAGAACTATTGCTAAATACAGTAAGTAAATTTGAAGATTTTTGTACAGTAGCAGCTTCAGTTAGATTACTAATATTATTAACATTCTTATTATTAATATTATTATTAAACAGCGTTGTATTCGGTATTCCCGTTACATCGGACACGACAGAAAGTCGATCACCTAAAGCTGTCGGTGTTGCTAAAATGCAAAAAATAGTTGCAGGAAAAAGCACATAAGAGTTTCGGGACCAAACGTTTTTCTTCACCAGCAATCTGACCATTCCTTAGTCATCGAATTGGTTAAAAATCTATAAAACGATCAACATTACCATCTTCGTCGTAGCTCTCGTTACTGAAACTCCGTTCTACCCCGGCATACGACAACTATTGATAAGTTTATGAAAATAAATAACACGAAAACAGCAGTTCACGAGAACTTAACAATCGAACGACTCAACTTGATTGATATTGTTACAAAGATAACAAAATGGTTATGAAGAAGAAAGAACAGTGACTGCATTAACCAACAAACACCTAAAATCAACAAATTGAAAATTTTCAATTGACATTATAGAAAACTGCAGCTGACTGGTCTCGTAAAAGAACTAAGTCAGAAATAAAAAGAAACTCACAACAGTAACAACAAAAATTAAGAAAACTTTGCTGGTGGATTATGAATTCATGACATGTCTAGACCACAAGTTGTTGAAAACAATAATACTACTAAATTATGATAATAGCCGTAGAACATCATAGTGAAGACTTATTTTTTGAATTCTAAAAACTGATAATGGTCGCAAAAGACCATTCAGAACAACGCAAACGCAAAGAAAGAAGCAAAATTTGTATTGTTCTTGACATATTTGGGTAACTACTGACGCTGTTTTCCTTTGAACACACAAATACTTAGATCTGTTAAATTAGAAACAAAGTGTTTGCCCCTTCTTCAGTTTTAACGTCCTAAACCGTTGAAGAACAAAAGACATGCTCGGCAGCTTCAAGAAGGTGAACCACTTTTTTACCCAGCAACTTTGATAAAATTTCGACGTATTCAATACAATAAAAAATTAAAATAAACAAATAAACAAAAAGTAATCAATCAGAATACAGTTCTTTTCTGACTTTCTAATTTAAAAATACATAACCTTTTTGAAAAAGCCCCGTCGTTTTTTACACTTCTTCCCCAACCACAGAAAAAAAAATAAAATAAAATAAAAATACATTTTCTTCTTGCTGCGATTGATGATAATGTCGTCGTTGTTGGTTAAGATAGCTTTTTCTTGCTTTCAGGTTTTGTTTTTGTTGTTTAAATTGAATTTTGCAAAAAACATAATTGCTTTTCAAAAGAAGATTGTTTCTGCCAATATATATTCCTACGTATTTCCTCCATCGCAGTCGTCATAACCATGATCATTATAATCATCATCACCAGAATCTTTTTTTCTTCCTGTCATTAGCCTCCTTATTTATCTTTTTTTAAAGTTACACCTCCTCCTCTGCTCAGTTCAACGACCTTGGTTTAGAAACGACAAACAAACGCTTGAAATACAGCAAGGGTAGAGTGAAGAACAATACAGCACAATCGCCAGCAATTTGACTTATTAGTTCTGGGTTCACCAGTTTTAAAAATGTTACGTTTGGGTATCTAACAAAAAAAAAAAATTAAACGAAACATTTGAATGCGTGAAACGATCACAATAAAGTTCCCCTAATCGTATATCATACGCATAAATAGCTGGGAGAAAAAATACTGCAAACAAAGGACAAAACAAGCTGACCCTTGGCTCACTTAAGAGCACACATATACGGGAAAATAATTATGACAACTAAATAAACTGCTGAACAAACTAATGCGCGCTTTCAACCAAAAAATGAAAAAATGAAGTGAATGAAAATAAACGAAAAAACGAAACAAAGCTGAAAAAAATTAACTTTCAGAAGACGGCTACTGAGAAATACCAAAAAATAGGTGGAAATCTTTTGATCATCTGGTCTATCGATTCACCAAAGCTTTTATTTTTTTAATTTTTAAAAAACGTCCCCTAAAGCAACTTAAAACATTAGAAAAATACTAAAATGAAACAAAAAAGCATTACAAAAAGTTGTTTACAGTTCTCGATAATACTTTAAAATTATTATCATTATCATTAGTATTAATATTCTAACTAAGTCTTCTATTCTAAACTGTTATGAGTAAAAGGAAAGCAGAAGAGAAAGACTGCGACAGTGAAGACAGAAAAAGTGAAAAAGACTCATTGTCAGTGAAGAATTTTATTCCTTTTTTTCTTATTTAAAAAATCTTGTTTTTTTTTACTCGTAGATGTTGCCAGAGAAAAATAAGAACAAAAAGACGTTAGATAAAATAAAAAATTTTTACTATTTTTTTGAATTAGAAAAAAGGCAATAAATTTTCAGTTTGTCTCCAATCAATTATCTATAAAAACTGTTCAAATGGATTTAGGATGTTCGCAGTATTCATTCCGTAAACACAGACACACATACACGCACAAGCTTAGGCTGTTCGCAAAGTAACCCTAATCAGAAAATAAAAAAGCAAAAAATAAACGCAAACATAGTATAGAAAAAGAAACAAAGTAGTAAAAAAGCAAAAAAAAAAAAAAAAAATTCATTTTTCAAAAAAGTAGATGAACAAAAAACAAAATAAAATTGAATAACAGAAGACAAAAGCAAAAAAATTTCAAAACTGATTAAGCATTATTTCTTTTTATTTATTTTTTTTGGTCTCAATGATGAGACCTTCAAAAATTGTTCTTTTGCACCTGAAAAATTGAAAGAAAAAGAAACCAGAAAACAACAATTTTTAGTTCCTTCCATTGCCGCTGTAGTCCCCGTTGCTGTCGGCACCGACGTAGCCGTTCGTCGTCCGTCAACCACTTTGTCGTTGTTTTCGTCGTCTCCGTTTTTCACCTTCTTCATGTCTTTTTTAATCTTCCACTTTCTGTTCCCACCCTCCCCCTCACTCCCTCCCTTTCATTGTCTTCGCCTGTGTGATTGGAAAATGACGGTACAGCAAATGGACAAAAGACTTAAGGGTTCGCACCTTCAGCGAGCTTTTCTGGTTTTTAAATGAAAAATTTGGGCAATCCGACAGGTGTTTTTAAAGCAGTTCCAAAGTTTTTTTAAAAAAAAAACATCATTTAGATGACGGTATCTGCTGACTAAAATAGCCAAGTAGTACACACACAGCTACCAATAAAATGTAGCAGTCCCCTGTTAACACCCAGTCAGACAAGCAATCAAGACCTAAAGCAAACCGAGTGGGCAGAAGACAAGAATGTTGTAGACAGTTCAGCTCACAAGTTTCACTTCCAGTTCCGCTAAACAACGCAACATTCATATATACAAGCATGAAAACACGCACACGCGGGTGAACTTAAATTAGTGCCCTTACAAAGATACATCATCATTAACTAAGCGAAGACTGTTAAAACAATAAAATCTAAAAATCTGAAGTTAAAAGCAAGATAGAACACAAAAGAAAAGTTCAAAACTTTGTTGCAACAATATCTTATAAATTTTGAATTTTTTTCGAATTCTTTATTTTAGACTATTTTCACAAATTTAAAAAAGAAACTTTATTAGCAGAAACAAAAAGAAAAGCTCAAGATTTATTCAAATTTTTTACATATTTTCCTTTATCGTCTAATTTCCTATTAAATTCCGAGAGCTTCGCTTAATTTTCCCATCGTTATCACGGCCAGCACTAAAATATATAGTGCATTTACAACTGCCACCACTAACAACAAAAACAAAAGCAGAAGTGAAGAAACAACGAATAGCGGCAGTAAAAATGGTCATGATACAAATAGCGTCTAAAAATTACAATAACAACACCAAAAACTAAGAAAACAACGAGAGCGAGAATGACAACATTAAATGCTGTTTTTTAGGCGTAAATAAATAAATAAAACTTGAAAGAAAAATAAAACTTTGTTCTTGAAATTTCGCCTAACGAAGTTTAAAAAGCCACATCTTCCTTACGAGAAAAAAACAAGCAAAAAAAAAAAGCAAATGCACTTTTTCATGGATAACAAAAAAACAGCAATTTTCCCAAATTTTTAATAGACAAATGAAGACAACGCTTCATCATATCGACTTAAAGTGGCAACAGTGACATAAAAACAGCCATAACAACGATAAACTTTAATAATATAACAACAACAACGACAGTAATGCGAATGGCACCACCACTAGCAGCAAACGAAGAAAACTGTATACAAAAAATGTAAACCAAAAATATAAAAAACATTTAAACCATACTTAATAGTCATTTCCTTTCTCTGCCTCCTTTCCTTCCTTTCCATCTGCGCTTTTCCTTACCAAATAACCAGCAGTATAGCCAACACAAACCAAATACATAATGATTGTTCAACTAAAAAATTCTCCCCTGCTAATATCGAAAACTACAAACAAAAAAACCAAAACTTTTATGTTGAAAGAAAAAGAAAAAATTATGAATAAATATAAGTGAAGAGAACATGCGTTGTTCTCCTTTCACTTCTGAACACTTTTGGCTGTCCTTTTCTGTACATCTTAATATCACCTGATTTTGACAAACAAAAAATAGCAGCAAACAAAAAAATAAAATGAAATAAAAGTTATAGAAAAAATTCAATAACGAAACGAAGAATTAGGTAAATAGTAGAACATACTAAATTTAATGATGACTGGTACCTAGTTACTAGTTGAATAAACCTATATGCATATCACTTTGCACCTGGATACGACAGAAATCATTTGAACAGTTTGACTAGAGCGGGGAGAACAAAAAGATTAAGTTTCTACCAAATTGCCAGCAATGAAACTAGGTTAAAATCTTGTCAGTTGGTCGCCTTTAGAGGTTGAGGCCGCCAAAACCAACAACAAAAAAAAACTGTCTTCAGCTGCTTGTTCTAACATTTATATAAGAAAAGACTTAAAGTATACACAGCTCAAAAAGTAAATTTTTCCTTCTTTATTTCCCTCTCCCTCTTGCTATATCCAACCCAACTAATTGTTAAAGTTTCCAAAGATATGAAAAAAAGGAAACTAATAGTTAAAATATCGATACAGACTTCTCGCGGAATTGTCACAGCCATCCTCCTCTAAGCACTCCCTCTCTCATCCGATGTTATATGCCTGAGCTTTTCCTTTACTTGCTGTCGTTGAATAAGTATGATATAATCAAATTTTTTTGTTTATTCTCTCTTAAATATCAAAAAAATTCTGAATAGAAAGTGCTTTTTACCACTTTTTATTCTTGTTAATCCTTAATCAGTTTGCCAAACAAAAAGTAAACATTAAATAAAATTCAAACAAAAGACACAAAGAGGAACTACTTCCACTTTGAGACAAGAAAAAGTAAGATGACATGTAACATTTAACAAAACAAAAAGCATTAAAAAATTACACAAATCGCAGCAACTAAACAGATAAACAGATAATATCAATATAACCAAATCTCAAAAAAGTGACCTCCTTTTTCTGTTATGCACAAAACACAATCTAAACTTAGTTTAATTTTGTTGCTGCTACTCTACTTAAGAACCAATACAATATACAAAATCCTACCAGTTCCAGAACGAACTCGGTTGTCAAAAATGACCTTTTTAGAAGTCAAGAAACTGCAACAAAAACTGGTCGAGTTTGGGCAAAGCAAGCCTTTCGCAAAAAGCTTACTTTTTAAAAAGTGAGAAACAGTTTGGAACAACATCAAAAATTCAAATGGAACT